TGCCCCCCACCCCCCACCCCGCCCCAGACAGTCACATGTTCTGTGACCTTAGGGAGAAGTCTCAGTGTCTTCACTTGCAAAGTAGGCCTGCCAGGCCTGGGACAGTGGCACACTGTTAGTGACTTGGGAGGCTGAGGCAGGAGGATCCCAAGTTGGAGGCCAACCTCAGCAACTTAGTTAGTGATACTCTGTTAAAATAAAAATAAAAGGAATGGGGGGATGTGGCTCACTGGTAAAGTACTCCTGGGTTCAATCCCTGGGACTTCCAAAAATAAAAATAAAGTGGACGTGGGAACATTTACTTTGGGAAAGCTGAGTGTTGAGAACACGTGCTGAGGGGCCAGGCACAGAGTAGGGCTCAGGGCTATTCCCATTCCCTGCTCCCCTCTCCCGGATTCCATGGAAAGATACTTTCTGGAGGTTTTCTAGTCCCTTCCTGAAGGTGTGGTGTCTTCCCTGGGCCCTTGTGTAGACACTCTTCACCTTATTACTTGTCTCGGCTGGGAAGGACCATCTGCCTGATGCTCTGAGTATTTTCTTTTGTAATTTGAAATCAAAGCTAGAATTCCTCAGAGGACAGTAACCTAAAGACCATCTAGTCCAACTCCTGGAACTACACGGAGAGGCTGAGGCTCAGAGAGGGGGCTGGCTCGTCCCAGGTCACAAAGTGAGCTGTAGAAGGACCAAGACTGAGCTCTGTCCTGGCTTGGCTACATCACCCAAGAGAATCGGTCCACCTACCAACATTTCCTGGGTGCTTTCTCTAGGGGTTGAGGTGTTGTCCTGGGCTTGGTGAGATGACCTTACAGTGGTCAGGTGCTGCTATCTGTACACTTCATCTCCTTAGAGGTAGAAAAGACAGCACAAGGTGGTGTTCTGGTTACTGAGGTTGATATCAGGTGGAAGGAGGAACCTCCTGCCCTTAGGGCATGGGGACAGGTGACAGAGAAGCCCAACATCCTCCTGGTGAGTCGTTAAGAGCTTGGTCTCTGAACCAGACGGCCTGGGGTTGAATCACTTGCTGATTGGAAAACTTGGATGAGTCACTTAACCTCTCTGGGACTCAGTTTCCTCCTCTAAAATAGGAATGGTGACAGTATGTCTTAGCACTCGTGCAGGACACGCAGCAAGGGCTGCACAGTGTCAGCTGTGACTGTTCAGTGGAGACAGGTTGAATATCTAATCCGATCCTGCCCTGAACGGGGAGCTCAGGGTGCAGAGTTGAGCAAGATGGGGCCCTGATGTCAGTGTGTGCTCAGCTGGTGTGGACAGAGAAGGCGACCCTTCCTTGTGCTTCCGGGGCGGATGCCTGGCCCAGCCTCAGGGAACGAGATGCAACCTCCTGGAAGAGGTAGCTTGTGGGCCCCACCAGCCTGGGGCTTTGTTCTGTCCACTGTGTCCCCAGAGCCTAGAACAGAGCCCGAAGTGGGCAGAAGCTCGGTCCATCTTTGCTGAGTGGACAAATGAAGAGCCAGCTGAGCTCCGTCCTCAAGGAAGAACAGGATAGCAACAGTCCCTTCCCTGGGCCTCAGGACTTGGTTTGGAGGCCAAGGGTCCCCTGGTTATTCTAGGAATCCATGCAACTGACAGGGGCTTGGGAAGGTTGATAAGGATGGGAGTGGGGGATGAGGGAAGAGGTGGAGGAGGACACTAGGGTAGGAGAGTCCATGCCAATGGATGGGAGCAGACATGGGGACATAGAGGTGGCCGTGGTTGCTGCAGAGAGGCAGGGGGCTGGAGAGGATGGGGGTACCTGCAACTTCCTCCCTGGCTGCCTGGCCCGCAGGAGGCCGCGGGGTTAATGGCGTGCCTTCCCTGCCGGCAGTCCGCCCGATGGGCTTCTGATGCCTTTTCTAATTTGGTGAGGGCTGGAGATTAGAAGGCAGGGAGGAGAGAGTTTTCCTCTCGCAGGTTATTATCCTGCCAACTCCCCTGGCGCCGAGGGAGGGAGTCAGCGTGTTCCAGGAGAAAAGGAAGCAGGGCCTGGCATTCTGGATCGGGCGCCCCTGGGGAGCGGGGAGGGCGCAGGGACTGGTGCAAATAAAATTGATGCTATTAATGGATCCGCTGCTGGTGGAAATGGGAGCAGCCGCCTCGGCAGCCGGCGAACTGGGAGGCGGCTGGGGGAGGGGCTTCCTAGAAGTGGAGCTCGAGACGCCACCGAGCCCAAGGTCCTTCCCTTCCAGGGTCCCTGGATCTTCCTTTTCCCCCAGAATGGAAGGGCAGCCTCGCCATTCGGGCCACACTGTCTCTGTCCCTCAGCTGCACACCCCTGCTCAGTGGTAGGCCATGGTCTCGCTGGATACTAACCCCGGCTCCCTAGGGAAAGGCTGATCCCTCTGGGCCGCAGGGCACCTGAAGCCTGTTCTAGAGAATTCCATCACGTATCAGACTCTGCTCCCAGGATACACTGGGGAACAGGAGAGAGACGGGATGACAAGGCCAAGCAGGAAGAAGGAAGGGGAAGAAGAACAAAGGAGGAGGGAGAGGAGGGAGAGAAAGAGGGGAAGGTCACCTGAGCTCAGGGTTCCACCCTGCACTGAGGGCAGAAACATAACGCTGCAGTGCCTAGGAGTCCAGTCCTGTGGGTGGCAGCACAAGGACCCCAGGAGCATCAGAAAAACCAAGGTGGGCTGCCTGGAGGTGAGTCCTGAGCTGGATTCGGATGGGGAGGGCAGAACTGGCCTGACATGGTGGGGTCCCCACAGGTCCCCAGGGGAAGCTGCCACCTTGAGTAGGATTCTCTTCTGAACATACCCGCACTGCCACCCCTCTTCACCAGCCACTTATCAGTCATCCTTCTAGCTCCAGCACCACCTCCTCTGGGAAGCCCTCCTAGACTGCCCAGCCTGCAGCAGGAGCTCTGCTCTAGCTCCTTTATCACTCTGTGCTGTCTTCCATACAACGCTGTCTTGAGGCTTTGTCTCCTTGAAGATAGTGACCTTGACTTATTTCTGTGTCCTCAGGGTCTAGCACCAAGGCCAGGCACACAGTAGGGCCCATTTGTGTTTGATGAGTTAATGGTATTTTTTAAAAAGCCATCATAATTATCAAGAATACAAGTAACAATAAATGTTGGTAAGGCTGTGGGAGAAGAGGTTCACTCATACACTGCTGGTGGGACTGCAAATTGGTGCAACCATTATAGAAGGCAGTATGTGGATATTCCTCAGAAAACTTGGCATGGAACCACCATTTGACCCTCTCCTTGGTCATATACAAAGGATTAAAATCAACACACTACAGGGACACAACCACATCAATGTTTATAGCAGCTCAATTCACAATAGCTAAGCTGTGGAACCAACCTAGGTGCCCTTCAACAGATGAATGGATAAAGCAAATGTAGTATATATACACAATGGAATAGAAGTTCATTGGATTAGACAAGGGGTAATGAAGGGTAGGGAGGGGGTTGGGAACAGGAAAGATGGCAGAATGAATTGGACGTCAGTTTCCTATGTTCATATTTGGACACATGACCAGTGTAACTTCACATCATGTACAACCACAAGAATGGGATCCTAATTAGAATAAGTTATACCCAATATCTATACAATATGTCAAAATACTCCTTACAGTCATGTATATCTAAAAAGAACAAAACAAAAAAAAAATGCCATCAGCCCCTTCTTCTGTTCTGAGAGGAGCACCATAAGCAGGCCCAAGTCTAAGGAGTTTGGAGCAGGGCCCTAGGACAGTCCTCCCAGCCAGAAAGGTCACCCAGGAGGCCTGCATCTGAGGACAGAAGTTCTACCATTGACCTGTCCTTGTTAGTTTAGGGTTGACTCTTGTCAAATGACCTAGGCCTGGAGCCTGGGAATACTGAGTTCCCGCTGTGTGTGTGTGTTACCGGGGTTCGAACCCAGGGCTCATGCATGCCAGGGTCTTGCTAAGTTGCCCAGGTTGGTCTCAAACTTGCAATCCTCCTGCCTCGGCCTCTTGAGTGGCTATGATCACAGGTATGTGTCACCATGCCTGGCTCTAAATTCCAGTTCTACCCTGACCAATGGACTAGCTGGATGATTGGGCCTCCATTTCCCCAATATGTTGAAAATCTGAACAGCTTTCTTGGATCCTGTGGGGAGGGGCCTTTGTTCAAGTATGACAATCCTGAGGTCACACTTCTCTGAGATCTTCCCTACTCAGTCACCCCAGAAACTGGGCTGAAAAGACAGGAAGGGAAGAGTGGGGGCTGGCGGGGGCTGGTGGGGGCTGCTGTGGGAGGGACCTACGGGAGAGAGCCCAGCAGGGCAGCTGGGAGGGAGCACAGTCCATGCTGAGGGCTGGGCTATCTGCTGGCCCCGGGGTAAGGCAGGCTGCCAGTCTTGTGGGCAGTCATAGAGGCTGGGAAGGGGTGGCCTCCGGGGCATTCTGGATCTGACATTCCCCCTAGACCAGTAGGGTACTCATGTATTAGACATCTCAAGGGAATCACTTCTAAGAGCCCCTCATATGAGAAAATAGACAACTAAATAACCAGAAAAGAAAGCCAAATAGTGAAAATGTTCTTTTGTACAACTCTGCATAATCATAGCAGTAAATAAGAAAATAAATGCTAAAGTACAAAAAAAAGACAAAAGTTATTGATTGATACTAGAAAAATTGGATTAATTTGTCCATGGGGCAGGAAGCACATGAATGAATGTGCAAGTTTTAGAGAATGATTTGCGTAGAGCATGACAGCATCCACTTAGCTTGGGTCTGTAACTTTATCTTTGTCATCATAGGGCGTCATTGTTTATTCTTGAATCTGCTGTTTGAAGGCAGGGATGTGTAGATCTACAGAAAAGTTGACACAAGTGCTAACTGAAGCCAGTTCTCACCATTCGAAGATTTGTTACAGACTCACTCTCAAAACAGAGCACAGCTGAGTTGCTCTGGTGCATCCCCCTGTTCCTGCCTGTATCCAGGAGAGCTCTGTAGATGGACCATCATGGAGTGTGTGACCTTCATTACAGGAGAAGCAACAGAGATGTGCTGTGGAGAAGCTCACCTACCTGTTCTGGAAACTCAACCATAACTGCAGTAATGACTGTGAACACAGCACACATGTTGCGATTTGTTTTTCTAAGGACAAGTATACTAACGCTGACACAAGATTGCTGGTATATGGTGACACGACCCTCGTTCTCCATTTGGATTTTGCATCTTTTGCACTTCCATATTCTAGAAGTTTAAGCTCCCAACCCTTCCTGTTCCAGGTAAGTTAAGAAAGCACAGGTAAATAGCAATGCATTTTAATCACTGTCATTCTTTATGTGTAAAGGACATCTATTATTCATCCTTTGGCTTAAGCACTGCCTCCTCCGGGAAGCCCTCCTAGACCACTCAGTTTGCTGTAGGAGCTCTGCTCTGGCCCCCTTAACTTCTGTACTGCCTCTGACATGGCAACTCAAACTGTGTCTTAACCTGGAGGCAGTGGCACACACCTGTAGTCCTGGCTAAGGCAAGAGGACTCCAACCTGGGCAACATAATGAGACCTTGCCTCAAAAATAAGTAAGTAAATACACAAATAAAATGAAATAGAAATAAAATCCTGACTTTAAACCTTATTTTCTCTTGAAAGCAGTGACTTCGACTTACTTATTTCTGTATCTAGCATTTTTCTTATATGTAGCAAGTGATGTGGAAATTTTTCTTTGAATGAGTTGGGCTGCACTTATTTGCCAGATTCAGGACACCTGGCTCCTACAGGGGCCCAGCTGTCCCTCCCCTCTCCGACTGGGAATTGAACCCAGGGCACTCTACCACCTAGCTACATCCCTAGTTCTTTTTTTTTTTTTTTAATTTATTGTTGACAGAGTCTTGCTAAGTGCTGAGGTTGGCCTCCAACTTATGATCCTCCTGCCTCAGCCTCCTGAGTAGCTGGGATTATAGGCCTGGGCCACTGTTCCCTGGCCTGGGACCAGCAGTTCTCAACTGCATGTGGTTTGTCTCCCTCCTTTTCTAGGATGTTTGGCAATTTCTAGGAGCAGTTTTGGCTTTCCCTCTTGGGGAAGAGGCGTGAGCATTCGATAGTAGCATCTAGTGAGTGGAGGTCAGGATGCTGCTAAATATCCTCTAATGCACAGGGCAGCCCCTACAATAAAGGTTTGTCCAGCTCAAATTCAAGAAATACTGTCTGGGAACTCAGAGTGCTCCTACGCTGGCCTGGATGAGCATTACCCCCACCTACCCCCCTCTTTTTTTCTCTTTTTTCGTGCTGGGGATTAAACCCAGGGCCTTGTGCATACAAGGCAAGCACTCTACCAACTGATCTATATCCCCAGCGCAACCATTTTCTTTTTTCCAAACTCTTAAGAAATGATAGTAGGGCTACCCCCAGATGGCATTATGCCCGCGGGCTCAAGCACCCCACTCTCCGGGGTGTCACTGCCAGGACTCCTCCTCTGGGGCCTGTAATGAAGGTAGGGCTTTGGGGAATTGAGTTCTAACTCTCATGCCTGGCTCTGCCTCTCACTAGGTACATAACAGGGGGCATGTACCCTCAAAGGCTCCTACCCCAACCTTGGTTTCTTACCTGTGAAGTAGGATTTAATAAAATTGACTTCAGAGGCTGTGGTGAGGATCAGCTGAGATAATGGCCACGAAGATAATTGCAACTGTGACTATTAAGGGGTGGGAAATGTGGGACTTGGGGTAAAGCATGCAGGCCTAAACCTGCCTGTTTCTCCTCCTTCCATAAGAAGGTAAGGGGGCTGGGGTTGTGGCTCAGTGGTAGAGTGCTCTCCTAGCATGCACGAGGCACTGGGTTCGATCCTCAGCACCACATAAGTGTAAAATAAAGATATTGTGTCCACCTAAAACTTAAGAATAAATATTTTTTTTTAAAAAGAAGGTATGGCTGTTGGAGGGGGCAAGGGGACAGCCTTTCTGGCTCCCCCATTCCTTCCTCTCTCTCAGGGACAGGGAGGAAGAATGGCGAGTCCCCTGAGCCCGAAGGCCGAGGTCTCCGGAGCCCTCTGTGGTAGAACCTAGGGTCTGAAAGGCCCTCGAGGGCGAGCAGCACGCTCCGTCCCACTGGGGCCTGGATGCCACCTCCTGAGACAGTAGCAATTATCGCAATCAAACAGTTGACACCAATTACGTGCGGGGGCCGAGGGGCGACTCGGCTGCACGGTGGCTCGGCTTTGCATTTCTTAATGCCGACTGACAGCCGCTGACCGCGGGGGCGCCGGCCTTGCCAGCTCTCAGCTGCTTCTGTGGCACCAATTTTCAGAGCCAAATTACTGCCAGGGCCTGCCCGTTTGCGGGAGAGAGCCTCGTCGGAAGGCAGGCTGTCTGTGTTCTGCGCAGGGGACCGGGGACCCGTGGGGCCGCCTTTTCTGGGAGCCTTTGAGCTAACAGTGGGCCCGGGGCTCTGGGTCCTGGGAGAAGCGCCCATGAGATCCCCACAGCCCGCACAGGGGACCCACTGTGTACTGTGGACAGGACTCAGGTTCATTGTATCTCCCTGCAGGTGTGAGGTCTCCCCCTTGACCCCCAGCTCCAGCAGTGTGAAGGCCAGGGCTTGCAGGGGGTAAAGCTCCTTCCCGATGGAAGCCACCCCACACACGCTTTTTGCAGGAGAATTAAGAAAAGCGTGGGTTCTGGGCCTTCAGGACACATGGTATCCATGCCCCAAGGCCTTGTTGCAGACACTGGACCTGCACAGTGTGGGAGTGAGGACACACTGTTTGCATTGGTGCCTTGGTACCCAGCAGGTCGAATCTTGGTTTTCTGACCTATAAATTCTTGCAAGAGTTAGGTCCTGATAAGGCCACAGCTAAGTCCCAGTCACCACATAGGGTTGGAATCGAGGTCTCCAGGCAGTGAGGTTCCAGGGCAACAGCTTCATCTTCACTTATAGGTGACTTCAGTCCCTGCCTGGGGGCTGCAAGCTCCTCCAGGACCCCAATTCGTTCTTCCACCCCTAGCATAGTGCCAGGCAGACTCTGGCGTCTCCCCTCTGCCTCTAGATCTTCTCCCACCCTTGTGCCAGCCAGCGTCTGGCCCACCTGAAAGTCATGCAAGCCTGCAGTAGGGAGGTGTCTCCTCCACCATCTCCTCCTAACCACCTCCTAGCCACCCCGGGAAGCAATGGTTTAGGAGAGCGCTTTCCCAAAGTTTCTGAATGAAGTTTCCTTTGGACACACAGTGTGCTCTGTGTGTGGAGAGGAAACTTCCCAGCACAAACCTGGAGCTTCCGGGGACCCCTTCCAGCCTGTCACCCCTTCCTCTCCTCTTAGGGGCATCTCCATTCTATTGTTTCAATCTTGTGAAAAAGAACCTCTTTGGGAAAACTGCGCCTCCCTCCCTCTCCCAAACGTGTTTGGACCTCCACATTACTTAGTGTAGAAGCGAAGGGACCAGGGTTCCCGGAGGGAAGAGTTGGGGCAGCAGCTGGGACAGGGGCGGGGAGAGAAAGTTCTAACGGGATCACTCCACATCGGCACTTTCGGACACCCCTTGCGTGCTCGGGTGGAGCGCCATCCTGGGGGTGCCAATCTTCCAGTCGAGAGTAGTGCGGAGCAACGGCTCCACTTTTGAGACGTGGCCCACTTAAGTCCCTACCCTTCTTCCCGCTCCAGCGGCTCCGCAAAAGCAGCTTTTGCACGGATCTCAGAGGCCAATTTCTGCCTGCCTCTTTTTGAGTTTTGGCCCAGACAGTAATGACCCAAGAATCCGGATCCGGGCCTCCTCTGTTAGCACTGGGGCGGGGGGGGGGCGCTGCAGCTGCTGGTTCTCGGTCCTGAGATCAAGGAAGCCGCCACTGATTCCCCCCACCCCCACCACTGGCCAAGGCGTAGTGACCTCCCCTTCAGCCCTTGCCGCCACGTTCACATGGTGTCCTATCCTCAGAGTGGCCGCATTAGTCACCGTCCGTGCCCAGTGTGAACCGGCCCAGGCAGACACTCCGCCTGGATGTCCAGCGGAAGTGCGTGAGGTTCAGCCACCAGAGCTTCGCTGTGCGCTGGGGCGTGGAGGAGGCGGGGTCTTTTGGTGGCACCGCGCAGCGGACCCTGAGACCCAGGTCTGCCTCTTACCGCGTCCGCCGCGCCCTGCCCTGTAGGCCGGTCCTCGCCCTCCCCCAAGGCTGGGGTGACTTTACCCCAGCTTGTAACGATTCCTTGCGAGGCCCGGAGAAGGCAGATTGTGTCAGCAAGTGCATCGGTCCTAAAAGACTGAGCGGGATTCCTGGGGATTAAGGATCAGACACTGGGAGCCCTGTTCTTTCCTTCTCCGCCCTCCTCCCCACCCCAGGAACAAGAAAAAGAAAAATCTGTTGGAAATGCACTTTTCCCCCCTGCCACCCCACCCCCATCTCCTTCTGCTTTCACCAACTTAAAAGAAAAATAAAATACATTCCAGGAACCAGGACGGCTGCAGAGCAAACTCAAACCAGAAAATGCTTAAAGATGTTTTAATGACTTAAACACAGGGGCCGGTTTGTGTCTAAAAGTTTCCACATTAAAAAAAAAAAAGCAAATTCAATATTAAATATCCTCCTGGTCCCTTTCTCCAGCCCCTTCACTGCCCCTCCTGGTTCCTGTAGCCCTCTGGGCTGAGGCACCTCCCCGTTTTCCTCTGCGCCCCTGATTTCAGCTGTGGGTTATTAGCACCCGGTGTGAACAGAGACCAGGCCCCATCCATAAAGTTTATATTCACATTCCAAAAATGAAAAAAACAAGGAACAGGGAGAAAAACAACACCCTAGGTACAGGCCCAACTGCTTCTGCAAGCAGAGGCCACCTCCCCACCCCCAAGCCCAGGGCCAGAGGAACTGTTAACTAGCAGCTGACAGATTTTTACAGCAGGAATTAGACCCTCATTTGGTTCAGGATTAGCCCAAATCTTCCATCTCATTACTGCTGTGACTTGCTGGAGCCCTTTTTTGGAGTTGGGGAGTTGCCTAGAGGTCTTTGGGGTCCTGGTCAGCATCTTCACTGGGATTGGAAGGGGCAAAGAGACAGAATGGACACAGGTAAATGGTGAAACCTGGGCTCCAAGATAGAGCTGGGAGTGGCCAGTTGGAGGACTCACATGAGTTTCTTGAGATGTTTGTTGGAT